GGCAGAGGTGGGTTTGAACTGGTGTCTAACAAATGCCAAGCCTGTATTATTTCCTTTCTGTTCTTGGGAGGCTTGGCCCAGCCCTGGTGGTGTGCTGGCAAATATTTAATGATGGGGTAGGGGAAGCCATGGCTGATTTCTGTGGAGCAAATTCTCCCACCATCGCCAATTCCTAGCTACCAGCATGGCATCCCTGGAAGCGAGGCTGGGGAGATGTGCACAGCCCGCTATTGGGAGCCAGTGCTAGCTGCCTCCCGCACACCCTCAGCCCTGTGGCAGCTGACTGTGTGGGCCTCCAGCAGGGCCTATGAATGTAGGTGTGGGGGGCCATGCTGAACCATCTGAGTGTCATCTCCCCCACCCCACCCTCGGCACCCCACAGACCCAGCTCTTCCGGCTCTGGTTGTGGGTTGCTGGGGGACTGACCAGTGCTGTGGCTGGACAAAGGCCAGCTTCTGACTGTTCCTGAGGGGGGCGTGGTGAGACCTCTTACCAGCACTTGCCTTCTCTGTTCTCGAACCCCATACCAGAGAGCACTGGCCATAAGCCCACAGGACACTTGCTGCGAGGGCTCTAGGAACAAGCCAACTTTCCATCGTGTGTGCAGGGGCTCTGGGTGCTGGGGAGACAAGCTCTTGTTAGGGAGGGAACCAGTATTCCAGTTTCTGTCTGGATAAGTGGACAGACAGGAGCTCTCACGGGGCTCCACGGCACTTGCTTTATGTCTGAGAGACAGCTGGGCCTGGTAGCTCCTGCCTAAAACCACGACATTCAGATGGCCTGTGCATGGCAGACCTTGGTTGGGGGCATGGCTCAGGGTCTGGGCTGGCCTGGGCACCGTCAGGACAGTCAGGCCCACGGTCTTCATCCCCTGTAGAGACAGATGACTCCTGGCAATGTAGAGCCACTGAGCCCAGGAATTAGCACTGATGGGTGCTGGGGGGTGTGGAGGGGTGCCTGGGCTGAGACCTGGGCCCAGGAGTCAAAAGACCTGGCTGGTCTGCTCCGCTACCTGTAGCACGCGACTCCGTCAAGCCGGTCGGCCTCTCAGGCTCAGGTGCCGCGTCTGTGAAACGGCACCATACTCCTGCCGGGCTTGCTGTGCGCTCATGCTTGTGGGCACAAACGTAGCTGAGAGTGTTTTCCAAACTGGGAGGTGCACGGATGCCCCAGGTTGCCCTTGTTACTGGGAAGCAGTCTGACAGAATGGAGGGAATGTGGGCTGCGGGGTCCGACAGGCGGGGGTATGAGTCCCAGTTCAGCTGCCTCCGGGCTGTGCAGCTTTGGGCAGGTGCCCTGGACTCTCAGCCTCGCTGCTCTCCTGCAGGTTGGTTTATAATGGACACTCATCTTTTGAGACTGTTAGGGGGCTAAGTAAGACAAAGTGTGTGAAGAGCTCTCAGGCCCATCCCCTTCTCCCTGTTGGGTGCCACCTGCTCCTCGCCGGATGTGAGGGTGCTCCTAAGAGGCCAGCAGACGGACACAGTTCCCTAAAACCTCTCTGGCCTTGGCAGTGAGGCCTGATGCAGTGGGCTCGGAGCCTGATGTCCCTACTTACCTGCTGTGACCTCGGTTTGCTCATCTCTGTTATGGTGATTCTGTGTGGATTGGGAGACTCACACGGAAAGCATAGAGGCCCACGCTTCGCCTGTAGTTCAGTGCTCAATGCACACTGGCTTCTGTGATGATTATTTCCAGTTTGATCTGGGCCCCACCAGCCAATGTTATCTGTCAGTGGCTATCTGCCCACCTGAGTCTAGGTTCAATAGGAGTCCATAGCTGCCCCTTTGTGCCCCACCCAGACTGTGAGGTTGGGCAGGAGGGAGCAGAATACTCTGTGCTGGTGTGTCCAAGCACATCTTTGCGGTGCTTTGCTCAGTGTAAGCCCCAGGCTTTTAAAAAATAGCAGCTTTCTTGCTCCCAGCAGACAGAGCCTCTGCTGTACCAGGGCTAATGATGGGCTGGCAGCTGAGTGTCACACATGGTTATTGTCTCCTGGGGAGGCAATAACCTTGGCAGGGCATCACCTTTGATTAGGGCAGACGCACACAGGAGGGGCCTTACCCAGCCAGACCAGGTGTGTGAGGTTCTCCAGGCCCTCGATCCTCTCAATGATGTTATTGTCCAGCTGTAGCTTCCTCAGGTTCTCAAACTGCCAGAGGTTGTCTATGCGGAGGATGTCTGAAATAATCAGAGGAGATTCCAGCCTTGGGTTAGGGTTAGAGTTTTGTACCAGCCTAGTGGAGGACTGAGACACAACCATGCGAAAGACTCCATAACTCCTCAGCCCTGCCTTGGAATATGCAAGTGCCCTGGAGATGTGGGCCGAGCACTGAGGAGCACCGTGTCCCTATTACTGTGTGGGGTGGGCAGAAATCAGTGCTGCTACCCAGAGCCCCAGGAGGACCTAATAAGTGCATTGGCAGGGCCGTGGGTGAGGAGTAGTCGGTAGGAGGGGAGGGTGATCTGGACCTTCCCACGGCAGGAGACTTACTTGAGTTGTCTCTGGGGCCAGGCTGGAGGCTCTCCGTATGCCTTGGGACACAGGACACAGGCAGAGGGGCCTTCCTTTTGCAGCGTGACAAATATAATCAAAGCATATCTCTGTTGGTGGGATGGTTAATCAACTAGTTCAGCCTTTCTGGAGGGTAGTTTGGTAACATTTACTGAAATAGTTAATGTTTGTGCCCTTTGACCTGCAATTTCTCTACTTGGAATATATCTTCAAAGACTTACGTATGTATCCAAAGAAATACCTACAGGCACGTGAGGGGCAGAAAAGCGGGGAAACACCCAAGTGTCCATATGTAGGGACAGGATGAATGGTCCATACAACAGGGAGGCAGGTTCCTGGTATCGTGGGAGCGCCTGGACCTGCAGCCCCTGAAGAGCAGCCTCCCCAGCCACATACCAGCTCCTTCCCTTTGCAGAGGGCAAGCCAGTCAGAGTCTGGCTTCTGTCACTGGCAGCCAGGAGAGTTCTGAATAACACTTAACTATAAATAAATTTATATTGTATATGTAAAATTCTAGAGGCTAAACTTGTCCACCAGCTTTTCCTAGAAGCCACATATAGCTCTGTTGTTTATATGTTCCCTTTTTTCTATATTTGCTTTCGTAATGATTTCTAAAACTTATAAAATCAGAATATGCTCATTAAAAGAAAAGGAAATAATACAGAAATGAAAGGGGTTTAAAAATTAATGCAGTTAGGCCGGGCGCGGTGGCTCACGCCTGTAATCCTAGCTCTCTGGGAGGCCGAGGCGGGCGGATTGTTTGAGCTCAGGAGTTCGAGACCAGCCTGAGCAAGAGCGAGACCCCGTCTCTACTAAAATTAGAAAGAAATTAATCGGACAACTAAAAATATATAGAAAAAATTAGCCGGGCATGGTGGCGCATGCCTGTAGTCCCAGCTACTTGGGAGGCTGGGGCAGTAGGATCACTTGAGCCCAGGAGTTTGAGGTTGCTGTGAGCTACGCTGACGCCACGGCACTCACTCTAGCCAGGGCAACAGAGTGAGACTCTGTCTCAAAAAAAACAACAAAAACAAAACACAAAAAATTAATGCAGTTAACAGCCGCACATCTGGCGAGGCAGCTTCCATGTGCATTCAGAAAGGCAGGCCTGCACGTGAGGCTGAGGTTGTGGAGGGGCTGGCGGGCAAACGTCCTGCTTCTAGCTGTGGGGTGGGGACAGCGCTCTCTGACCCAGGCCCTGAGGGGCCGCCACCTTTCCCCCGGAGCTGGACTGCTCTGCTCCACCTCTCCTGGCTTCTCAGAGCCTTGAGGGACTGGTGCCTGCTCTCCGGTTCCCTGTGTGTGGCCAGATTTCCCAGATCGATCCTGGTCACCATCCCCACCTGTGCTTCTGGTTCCAGGTTCTGCTCCAAGCTCTCAGCCACCTCCTAACCCTGGTTTGGACTTTCCAGGTGCCTTTTCTGGCCTTGATCCAGCCCCGCTTTGCCCTTGGCCAGTTTCCTGCAGTACCACTCCCCCTGGGGGGCTCCTGCGCACCGGGGTGCCCTGTCACACCTGCATGCTGGCTTTTTTCTAGGCATCAGCAGTTCATATGGAAAAGCCGAAACAATACAACAAACCCAGATGTCTCTGGCAGTTGGCTCTAAATGAGTCACCAGCATGACAGGACTGCCAGAAAAGCCAATTTAATCTTCGACAAAGACACTGAATCCACCTCTGTGGCCACCACCTTGGCCCAGCCTGTCGTCGTCACTCCCTGGACCACAGCAGAGGCTGTCTCGCTAGATCCTTGCCTAGGTCCCTGGCCCCCACAGTCTACCCTCCTGCAGCCAGCAGGGTCCTGTGAAAACCTAAGTCCCATCCTGTCCTGCTGCCACTTAGGACCCTCTGGGGGCCCCAACCTCACTCACTGTAAAAGCCAAACACCTTCCATTGCCCTAAGGCCAATACCAGCTGACCCCATGACCTCTCTGACCTGCCTCCACACTGCCTCCATAGCAGACCTGATCGGTCTAGGTCCAGCCTGCCTCAGGGCCTTTGCACTGGCTGCTCCCGCTGCCCCACATGCTTTCCCTGATGGATCTCTGGGCAGCTCCCTCCCGTACCTCCTTGAAGTCTTTGCTCCATTGTCACCTTCTTGATGAGGCCTCTGGCCCACCTATAAACACAGCACCCCATACCAACTCCCCTTTTCTCCTCCATTTGCTTTTTTTCCTGCATAGCACACATTATCTTTAGCATATAGTATTATTTTCCTTCTTCATTTTACTTATTTGTCTCCCCAACTTGAATGTCAGCTCCATGAGGACAAGGTTTTTTGTCTTTTTTGCTCACAGTTGAATCCCAGCACCTAGAACAGTGCCTGGCATCTAAGAGGCAATACTGGCTGAAGGAACCTTAGGTTGGGGAGGGGAAGTAAAAGGAAAGTGGTCAGCTGCTAAAGCCCCTCCTGTGGCAGCCATCCTGCACCCCTTTACTCCTTTTGGGGCCGAGGGGCTGAGGCTCAGGGCCCTCCCTGCTCTGGCTGGTCAGCCCTGGAGGCCACAGTCTGGGAGGCCTGTGGGATTCGTGGGGCTGGGGCCTGGGCCGTGCCTGCCTTGCCCACTGCAGTGTCCCTGCTTGTTGTTGACTGGATGCCAGCCAGCCTCCCTCCCCCACACAGAGCAGGAAGGTGAATCAGACTAGGTCACTCTGCAGTGGCCTGGCCTGTACAGCATGCAAGGGTCTCAGGATCCCTGCCCACCTCTCTAGCTCCCCCTAGCATCCTCTCTGCCCCGACTCACTGTGCCCTGGCTCATTGGCCCTCCCAAGTGAGCCAGGCACTATGCACATGTTATCTCACTTTGTCCCCCAACTGGTACTTGAGACAGGGACTACAGTCATCCCATTTTATAGATGGGGACACTGAGGTAGTGAGGATCTGCCTGGTCCCAAGCCACATCTTCCCATGGGGCTGTCTTGCCACTCTTGAGGTGCTTCCCTGCCTCACGGCCCTGTGCCCCTCTTATGTCCAGCCCTTCTTCAGTCATGTCCCCTGAAGCTGCTTCTCCTTCGCCCCACACTGCCCGCCCCTGGCTGCTGGCTATGTGGGACTTCCTAGGTTCTGCCTCCCAGGGAACCCCACCCCAAGGATACCAATGTGGAGCATGTGATGGAAACAGCTGGTCTTGGGGGTTCACTTAGATTTGGAGTTGGGCAATTTTATCTTTTCTTCTGCTCTTTTTTTTTTTTTTTTTTTTGAGACAGAATGACTGTTTTGCCCGGGCTAGAGTGAGTGCCGTGGCATCAGCCTAGCTCACAGCAACCTCAAACTCCTGGGCTCAAGTAATCCTTCTGCCTCAGCCTCCCGAGTAGCTGGGACTACAGGCATGTGCCACCATGCCCGGCTAATTTTTTTCTTATATATTTTTAGATGTCCGATTAATTTCTTTCTATTTTTAGTAGAGACGGGGTCTCGCTCTTGCTCGGGCTGGTCTCGAACTCCTGAGCTCAAACAATCCGCCCGCCTCGGCCTCCCAGAGTGCTAGGATTACAGGCTTGAGCCACCGCACCTGGCCTTTTTTTCTGCTCTTATTCAGAATCAGGAGTTTTATGGATATTCAAATGGTAATGACACTAAGTATGAAGCTTTAAAAACATCTACGCCACTCCTATGCCTTGTAAGCCGGGTGGACTCTATGCTGATGTGGGTGTCTTGGCCTCTGACTTTGTGTGGAATCCGGGGCTTGAAGGTGGAGGAAAGAAAGCTGGGGGGCCTCACCCTGGGCCACATCCACCGACCCAGAATACGTACTCTGGAAGTCCAGCTGCAGGGACAGGACATCCTTGAAGAGGATGCCCTCCTGCTTGGCCAGCTGCCCGGCCTCCTCCTGGGGGCCCTGCTCCCCCACAGCCAACTTGAGCATGTCGTCGTCCATCACTCTCGGCTCCATCGAGTCGTGCAGATGGTTCATCTTCCCTAAAGGCTTCCCTAGAAAACACCATATTCCTCATTCACAGCCTATTTCTTCCTTTGTTTGGGGACATGGCCTGGCTGAGGTCTCTTCTTAAGGTGTCATGGAACATCATGGCAGCCACAGATACTCTGAGGCTTATCTCCCGCCTGGCCCTGGGCCTGCTGCACCTTGGGGCTAGTACATTTGCACCAAGGCTGCTCCAGGGCTTCCCTGCAACCATCTGAGACTGTTCACAGAGGTTCATCCCTTGACCCCACAAGCACAGCTGGGACCCTACCTGGACCCACTGGACTGGTATCCATGCTGGTCTCCTTAGCCTGTGGAGCTCAGCTCCCCTAAGGCCAGGGCCCTGTGTCAGGCCTCTGGCTTTGTTGCCTATCCCCATTCAGGTTTGCTGGTGCCAACCACAGACCATGCTGCCTTGGCAGCCCCAGCCAGGTGTGTGAGCCTATAGCTCCCTGTCCCTGAGTCTCCCTTCCTTTCCTGGAAGTTATGTGTGTATTCCCCCACAACCCACAAGCTGACCCCCAGTGTGCAGGGAGGCATTGACCCAAGCTGCCCGTTCATGTCCTCCCCCTGGGAACTGTGAACTTGAGGCTCCTGAGTGAGCACCCCATCAGAGCAGGCTGCTTGCGCTGGGGAAGGACTTGGGAGCATGGGCTGGCCAGGCATGTGATCGAGCCCAGACAGCAAGAGGCAGGTGAGGCAGATGCACAGACAGAAGCAGAGATGGGAACCTGAGCAATCCAAAAAGCAAAAGACCAAGGACAAACAGACTGACACAGACAAATGCTGCCTTCTCCTTGCTGGCTTTCCAGCCCTAATGTCCTTAAGGCCAGGCCCCGTGAGAGATTCCTGGTTTCTCACATTAGATCCTCTTCCACTTAAGCTAATTCCAGTAGGTTTCTATTGCTACTGGTCCAGAGGGCTTTGGCTGAGACACCTCAGGCATAGGGGGGAATCTGTGGATTTGGTCAGTCACCCTGCAAGGCTGGCCCTGGGCTGACCCTGAGCCTGATTCCTGGCTGGACCTTGTTCTCATCATCACCACCCCTCTTGGTGAGGACATCCAGAAGGGATAAACCTGCAGGAAGCCATACCCTCCTGTCAATCTACTGGGATTCTGCCTCCTGAGGGCCTCTGGAAACACAGTCCTCCCCTCTGCTTTCCACCTGCTCCTTACCTCCCTGCCAGCCTCACCTTTTACCTTTACCCACATGCCTCTCCTACATCCAGGCCTCCCTGAACCTCCCATCCCTGCCCCTGCCCTGATGCTGGGCAGCCCCTATCCCCTGCCTTGCATTACGCTAAGCTCTGCTGGAGACACTCCTCATGTTGGGCTGATAGTCCTGTCACCTGGTCTTAGAGACTTCCCTCTAACACTGCTCTCCCTCCTTCTTCCCCTACTATCCAAGTTGGATGCAACTTGTGCAAATATGTGTCTTCTGTTCCTAATCAAATGTCCCAATGCCTTTAATTCTTGTGTGTCCTTCCCTTTTGCCCCAGGAGGAGGCATAGCCTCCATACCCCTGAACCCCTTGCCCTTTCTCGACCTGGGCCTTCCATATTCGAAGAATTTAGCCCTTTTCTTCCCACGCTCTCCAATCTGTCCACACTGGCTCCACCTCCTTAGGGTGACTGATTCAACCCCCAAAGATGGTTCTAGCCCTCGGCCACTCGCTAGCTCCCCATTTTTCTGAAACAGTTTTTCCTAAAGTTTCCCATAACTTGCCATCAACTTGTCTTTGGGGAAATTTTAATGCACTGTATTCAGCAAATGTTATCTGCAAAGTGTTTGGGCTTTTTCCCAAAAATGGTGCTATACTTTGACAGATGACTCTTAATTATGATTTCAAAACTTTAACTGACTTCTCATCCCTCCCACCTGTCATCAAGGCCTGTTACCTGTGAAAGATCAAGCTTGCTTTCAGTCAAGCCCTGCAATTTCTGTGCTGTGCAATGTGAGATTGTTGTTAGACATACTATTTGCTAACTATAACAGGGCAGGATTCGGATCCTGACTGTGCATCTTTTGGCAATTCATTTTACCTAAGTCTTGGCTTTCCCATCTGCAAAAGATGGATAATTCTTCCCTTCTACATTTGCAGAAAATCATGTATTTAGTCCACACACATGTACTGAACTATTGCATGCTATGAATAAAACAGACAGATTTCCTTACCTCTGTTTCAGACATGAACCAAACAATCAAACAAATATTTTATTACAAACCATGATAAATTTGTAGGGAACTATTAAAGCATAATTAGGGGCATCTGGTGTGGCCAGGGGAGACAGGGCTGATCTGAAGGATGAGTAGGAAAGAAGGAGGAGGGAACTACATGGTGAGGGCACTGTGGTGGGAGAGAGCAGACATGTTCCACTTTGACTGAAGGAATGCAAGGTTGGAGAGGTCTGCAGCAGTTTTATTATTATCCCAGGATCCCTGGAAAGCTCCTAGGGTTTAATAAGGGCAGTGACATGATCATATTTTAGCTTTAAGGACCTCACTCTAGGCCAGGTGTGGTGGCTCGCACCTATAATCCTCGCATTCTGGGAGGCTGAGGTGGAAGGATTGCCAGCCTGAGCAAAATCGAGACCCCGTCTCTGCTAAATATAGAAAAAACAATTAGCCAGGTTCGTGGTGCCCATCTGAAGTCCCAGATACTCAGGAGGCTTGAAGGAGGAGGATTGATTGAGCCCAGGAGTTTGAGGTTGCAGTGAGCTACAATGACACCACTGCACTCTACCCGGGGCTACAGAATGAGATTCTGTCTCAAAAAACAAACAAACAAAAAACAACAACAGCAACAACAAAAACCCAAAATCACTCTAGCTTCAGTACTGAGAATTGCAAGAGTAGTGAGGTGAGAGATCCCCAGGGTGGCAGTAAGATGTGGATTTGAGAGATTTCTAGGAACTTAATTTATGTGTAGGACTAATTAATGATCCCTAGTTTCCAGATAAGAAAACGGAAGCTAATTAGAAAGGTTAATTAACATGCCCAAGTTTACACAACTAGGATAAGGAAGAGCCCATTTTCCTAATCATGACTAAACTGAACCCAGGCTACTAGAGACTATCATTGTCACAGCTCACAATGTTTCTCTAGCTCTTCTGGGTCAGGGCCAAGGCCCAAAAAGTCCTCCTGATGTGGATTTTACTAGTAATTTACCCCCCAACCTGGGTTCCTATTGACTTGCCTGACGATAGTGTTGTTAGTGAAGACTGGAGGTAGGAGGTGAGGGAAGCAGCAGAGCGTTTTACACAACTGTCAACGGAGTAGCCTCCTCACACAGGAACAGATAGAGAATTTTCCTGGGAAACAACAATCTTGGGTTAGTTGGATCTGAAAAATATACTCCCTATTGGCCATGAATTAGTAAAAGGTAAACCAACCTCTTACTGAGTGCTTACTGTATACTCAGTGCACATGCATTATTTAATTACATGTCCGCTGTGGAGGCCATTAAAGAAGAGAGTCCTAATACCCTTAATTCCCAAATTGGGAAACTGAGGCCCTCGTGGAGGGGAAGGAGCTTGTTTAAAGTCATATAATGAGTTACTGACAGAGAGAGATGGAACCTGAGTATACATATTCACAGCCAAAACACTTTATATAGCACCAAGATGAAACAATTTAATGATAGATCAGAGGTTGGATATGATGGCTGTTCTGGAAGAAGTTATCAAGGGATCAAAAACCCCTTCTGGCCCTCCTCCCTGAAGAAATGCACCTCTAGCATTTCTTTCTTACATGAAGGTCTGAAAAGCCCAGGACTAAAGTGTCTTGGAGGTCTCACCACTACTGTAAAGTAGCTGGCAGAGGACCCGTAAGCTCATTTTACAAAGAAGGGCCGGGCCAGTCATTAGAGAAAAAGGTCACGGGAAAGAGTTAAGTCGGACGCTGTCTGCCCCTGCGAGTCCTCTGTAGCCTCAGCTCCCCGCTCTCACCTTCTCAAGCGCCGGCTACCGGGCTGGTTCCATGTAGCCAACGCGTCACCCGGTTGCTTGGAAACCAAGCGCCACCGCTCGGTTGCTAAGGGGAAGTCGAGAGGCAGACATCCTGGGTGAAAGTTGACGGATCACGTGACCCCATCTCTGGGTGGGGAAATAGTCTTAACACCAACCAGCCGTAGGGAAAACAAATGTTTCTCCAATCAGCACTTTCTATGGGCGGGGACCTTCCTAGATCCGCCTCTTCTCCGCCCCCTGTTTTAATGATTGACTCTTCTTTTGTCCAATAATAGAAAGGATCCTCTAGATTAACCAATACACAGATGGCTCAAAATACACAGCCTCCCCTTCGGAGGCGGGCTAGGGGAGGTGCCGCTACGCCTGACAGGGACTCCAGTGACCTAGCTCTCTCCTCGGTCCAATCGGACGCGGCGGGGTAGGTGGGGCTTTGTCAGGGGAGGTGTGAAGGCCAATCGGAGGAGGGCTGTGCAGGTGTTGCCCAATAGAGACGCGACAAGGGGGCGGGTTAGGGGCCCGGCGCTCTGCGTTCGTTCCCAAGGGTGGGGCGAGGGCAAGTGTCAGTCAGGTCTGGAGCGCGACTGGGGACTGCGAAGACCGCGGCGCCACACAGGGGGCCCGGGCCGCTGCGTGTTGTCAGCCCAAGATGGAGTTCCTCCTGGGGAACCCGTTCAGCACCCCGGTGGGGCAGTGCCTCGGTAAGGCCGCGTGTGGGGCGGGCAGCTGGGCGACAGCTGCAGCTGACAGGGCTGGTGAGGACCGCGGGTCTCTGCTGGGCACCGGTGCCACCTCACGGGCGGACCGGGCATCCGTGTCATAGGGCCTCTGCCCGAGCATCGGTACCACCTCACAGGCCCTAGTGCCATCCTGCCAGGAGGCGCCCCTGAGGCCCAACTTGAACTCGGAGATGCTCTGACCTTACCTACCCATCAGGGCCCAGTCCTTCTTGTCTCTCCTAGAGGTGGTGCCAACTGCTGATCTGCTTACCCCTTGCTTGTTGGGAGATGCTACTGCGTGCACCG